ATTTTTTTTAAATATAGTAAAAGCTCAAAAAATAAAAATAAAAATATGAGGTTGTAGAGCTCATAAAGATCTTTTTTTTTTTTTTTTTTTTGGGAGCTAGGGGCACTGGTATGAGCAGACGCCTCTATCTCCCCCGGGGAGGCTCCATCTATTAATGGGGAGCAACACCTGCTGGAAAACGGGTCCAGCGTCCCTTAACAAAGCCATTGATTTCCTTCTGAATATTCCCTCATCATTCTGCCAGCATTGATTGCCCTGAGAACAGGGGATTAACTGCACAAGAATACGAGTAACCAGAGAGGGGGGGCGAAGGTCCTCTTCAACCTTGCTGCTGGGCGCCCGAAATGCGTGACGACCTAGCTCCCGTTCCCCCTGCAGATACAGCAAATTGATCCTCTGCAGTGTGTACCCCCCACTCACTCTGCCCCAAACCACTGAAGATCCACCAATCACAGACTATGGGGGCGGGGGGGAACTGACCCTATCCCAGGTGTCCCAAATGTCATCCCCCTCCCTCCCCAGCATTAGACCCGCTTGTGTGGGGAGGAAAAGAGCTGGACTTGCTGCTGTTTGAAGGCTTCTTTTTTTGGACAGGGTTGGGCTCTCAGCAGAAAACCAAGATGTGGGATATTCCTGCCCTCATGAATTGCCCTGAAGTCCGGGGTGCTATCCTACCCTGGTTCCTCCCACCCCTACCCCCTCTATTGACACTGCAAACTTACTCATACCACCCCATACCATTGCGTGTCTACCATGGTCTGCTGATGGGGGGGAAAGGGGTCAGGAAAGTCTGAGGGAGGCCGCAACCGAATTCTTGGATCCACCATTGTCCAATACTTGAAACAAATATGATAATCTCTCTTGATCGTCCCTGAATTACCATCATCGATGCCTTCTTTGCCTTCCTGGGTGCGGCTGCCATCCCACACGATGAAGGCGATCCGACCTCCGTTCTCGCTGCCCAGCCAGTCCCCTGAAAACTGTTGGATTTTTTGTTTTATGTCTTTTGGTGTCTGGAACAGATCCAGCTGACTTTTAACTTTCTGCCATTGTGCCATAAGATCCTGGCGTACATATTGTTTGACCATGTCCGTCATTTCCTCCCCGGCTATGCGGACCCCTTCCATGGCATGTATGCAGCGTCTCCTCCAGATGACCCATAGGACGGCTCTCCTCCCTATCTTCAACATGTTATTTTCGAAGGAGCTATCTGAGGGGGAGGTCCATGTTTCGCATAGAATCACCCTTCAGTCCCATGGCCAGGTAGAGCCCGTACCCAGCAGGTTCCAGATTCTGTCCCACCAACGCCATGTGAGGACAGCCCCCGGACACTGCAAGAATATATGTTCAATTGTTTCCGGGAACTTGCGGGAGGGGAACGCCGTGTGACACGGCATACACCATGGGAGCGCCAGGCCTTTCTGTTCCAGGTATGTGCAATCTATCAGCCAGTCATTGGTAGGGAGGCAATCTATCAGCGATGTTCTATCTGCCATTGTAGCGAGGCCAGCTTTGCCGGCCTGGCTCGCGTGAGGAAGAACCACCTAATGGGGCGGATGGCGTCGACCCCCACATTCAGATGGGTCCTCCAACGGGTCTTGACGATGTCTTTCAAGTTGACTCTGGGCCGCAGTAACCGGTACGTGGCTTTCACAGACAGGCACGGAAGCCTTACATTCTTAGTCACCCGGGTTCTACGCGCAGGGGACCATTGCCATTCATCAGGGTCAAAGGGAAGATCTGCAAGGCAGGTCTGCGGCCGGTATGCTATCCAATCTTCCTTATTTTTTAACACCCGGATCCTATACAGATCAGCGTTCCGCCACCATCTCGTCACGTTCGGGGTGTATCTGGTTAGCACGTTGCCGGCTCCTTTATAGAAGAGGTTTACAACCCTATACGTTTTTTATTTTTTTATTTGTTTTTTAGCCCGCAAAAAAAATCATCGCAGGTCCCGTTGTAACCCGTCTAATGGGCTTTTCAACGGGATTCAACGCGCGTTGAATCTTTCA